TGCTGCGCTGCTGTTGGATTGGGGATAATAAATCCCTGACTGCTGCTGAGGAATATGGAGTATAAGTCTTCATGTTGTGAAGTCTAAGCGTTGATGAATTTTTCCTTGGAGAAATAAACTTTGTTGTAAGGGAAATGCCGTGTACTGCTTGGAAAATCCTTCCTGGGGAATTCAGAGAAATTTGACGACCTCTACTGGGGTTTAATAACTGAAACCTCTGTTCTGCTGGGGATTGAACTGCACACTGCAGGGGTTTATGGAAATAGCATGGAGAGATTTCCCTACCTCATAAAGCCATCAGTGATCGTCTTTCTATTTTGTTTATTTGTAAACAGTAATTATGTTCAAATGCATATGTTAAAAAATAAATCATTGGACGTTTTTTGTAAACAAAACACAAGAATAAAAGAAAAAACAGATAATTTTGCACTTTCAAAGGGATATCTTTGTATTGACTTTGAGTAAGTATTTTTTTACAATGAGATAAACATTCTAGTAAGAGAATGTCGTCGTAAAAATGACAATTTTGATACAAAGAAAAGATAGCGATGTGCAATAATCCCATGGGGTTCCCATTCTACTATAGCCTTCATATTTTTGAACATCATGTCTATTTGTTGCCTCGTCTGAAGATGATTAAATTGATCAGAACCTCTGAGTTTATCAGTTGAAGCCAAAGGTTTTCCGTAAGGTGATCCAACGGGACATAGTCATACGCTTTAATTCCCTAACTTTTGCCTGGACCGCCCTTTCGGGTTTTCAGTCCACCGGGAAACCCTTTTTTGCCCAAACCACCCTTTCAGGTTTTCAACTTGCCGGGTGTACAAATTTTTTTTTTGTTTTATCCCTAATTTTTGCCCAAAACTCTTTGGTTCGCTGGGATGCCCTTGTTTTGCCTAGGTGTGTCAACCTAGCGGGTATCTTATGTGTGGTATCTTTTGACTATGTCTGCGTTCGCAGGGTGTGGCAGGTCGTCGCCATCCATGGTGGTCAAGATCATTGCTCCACCAGAGAATATGTTTTTGATTACAAATGGTCCTTCGTATGTAGAAGTCCATTTACCCTTGGGGTCACCTTGCGGAAGTATGATACGTTTGATCACCAGATCCCAAACTTGATATACTTGGCATCTGAACTTTTTGTTGAAAGCCCTGATCATCCGTTTTTGATACATTTGACCATGACAGACAACAATAAGTCTTTTCTCATCAATCAAGTTTAGTTGATCAAGTCAAGTCTGGATCCAATCTTCTTCATTCAACCCCGCATCCTTCATAATTCTAAGAGAGGAGATCTTGACCTCAATAGGCAAGACAACTTCCATGTCGTAATCTAGAGAATATGGTGTTGCCCCGTTTGATGTACGATCTGTGGTACGATACCCGTGGAGGGCGAATGGTAGCATATCATGCCAGTCTTTGTATGTGACTTTCATTTTCTGTATGATCTTTTTAATGTTCTTATTTGCAGCTTCGACAACACCATTCATCTTTGGCCGGTAAGGGGAACAATTGTGATGCTGGATCTTGAATTGCTCTCACATGGCGGTGATCATAGTATTGTTCAAGTTTGTACCATTGTCTGTGATTATCCTCTTAGGAATACCGTACCGACATATGAGATTTTGCTTAATGAACCGGGCTACAACATTCTTGGTGACGGAAACCAAAGAAGCTGCCTCCACCCATTTTCTAAAATAGTCAATGGCCACTAGGATGAAGCGGTGTCCATTGGAGGTTGTTGGCTTGATTTCCCCAATCATATCAATTCCCCACATAGAAAAGTGCCAAGGAGTAGTCAAGACATTCAGAGGAACTGGAGGTACGTGCACCTAGTCAGCATAAATTTGACACTTGTGGCAGGTTCGAGAGTGTTGATAGCAATATGCTTCCATGGTAGACTAATAATAGCCTGCCCATAGGATTTTCTTTGCCATCGTATGCCCACTGGAATAGGTGCCAAAAGTGCCTTCATGTAACTCAGCCATGATCCTTTCAGCTTCAAACTTGTCTACGCACCGAAGTAACACAGAGTCATGGTTTAGTTTGTAAAGAATGCCATTACTAAGGAAGAATTTAGCAGAGAATCTCTTTAAGAACTTCTTATTATTGGCTGAAGCTCCTTCTGGATATTCTTGAGCCTCGAGATACCTCTTGACTTCGTGAAACCAATATTGGTCCACTACTTCTTCAGTATTAATCTGGTGACAGTGTGCTGGTTCATTCATTCGTTCAATGGTGATATAGGGAGCCTCGTTATCCCATTTAAGTTTAAACATAGATGACATCGTGGCTAGTGCGTCTGCTAGCTGATTTTCTTCTCGCGGGCAATGCTCGAAGGTAATCCTTTCAAAATGTGGGAGCAATGTCAAAACATGTTCTTTGTAAGCGATAAGGTTAGGGTGTTTGGTGTCCCACTCCAATTTGATCAAGCTGATAACCAAAGCTGAATCTCTGAATATATTCAAAGATTTGATCCCCAAGTCTATTGTAGCTTCTAGACCCAAGATTCATGCTTCGTATGCCGCTATGTTATTTATACAATTGAAGAAGAGTCTTGCTGTAAAGGGAGTATTACATCCTTCAGGAGATATGAGTACATCACCAATACCATTGCCGAGCGTGTTAGATTCCCCATCAAAAACCAGGGTCCATCGGGATCCTTGTTCAGGTCCGTCATATGGCCTGAATTCTTTACAGTTGTTTACCATCATGATGTCTTCATTCGGGAATTCGAACTTCATGGACTGGTATTCTTCCATAACTTGGTGAGCAAGGTGATCAGCTAGTACACTTCCCTTTATTTCTTTTTGGGTAGTATACTGTATGTCATATTCTGTCAGGATCATCTGCCATCTTGCTATTCTCCCAGAGAGAGCAGGTTTTTCAAAGATGTATTTTATTGGATCCATTTTAGATATCAATAAGGTAGTATGGGTCAGCATATACTGTCTGAGACAGCGAGCAGCCCATGCCAGAGCACAACAAGTTTTCTCGGGCAATGAATATCTTGTTTCACAGTCGGTAAACTTTTTGCTCAGGTAATAAATAACGTGCTCTTTTCGGCCATACTCGTCATGCTGCCCTAGCACACACCCCATTGAATTTTACAAAATGGTCAGATACATGATCAATGGTCTTCCCTCGACTGGTGGCATTAAAACAGGAGGCTCTTGTAAATACTCTTTGATTTTTTCAAAAGCAATTTGGCACTCATCTTTCCACTTGACTACCTGATCTTTCTTCAGTTGTTTGAAGATTGGTTCACAGGTAGCTATCAGGTAAGAAATGAATCTGGCAATGTAGTTTAAGAGTCCCAAGAATCCTCTGACTTCCTTCTTAGTACGAGGAGCAGACATCTCTTGTATTTCTTTCACCTTGGCAGGATCTACATCAATACTCTTATTGTTGACGACAAAGCCTAGGAGTTTACCAGACCTTACTCCAAATGTGCACTTATTTGGGTTCAACCTCAGTTTGTACTTCTTTAATCTCTCAAACAGTTTCTGTAAATGATCTTCTTATGTTTGAGATCTAGCTATCATGTCGTCCACATAGACCTCTATTTCGTTATGTATCATGTCGTTAAATAGAGCTACCATGGCACACTGATAGGTTTCCCCAACATTATTTAGTCCGAATGGAATCACCTTATAGCAGAATGTGCCCTATTGTGTGAAAAAGGTTATCATCTGCAGGCGCCATTTTGATTTGGTTGTAGCCTAAGAAACCGTCTGTTGTACCCCAATTTTTGCCCCTAAGATCCCTCATCATACTTTGTACATTTCATAGCATTGGTCTTATGGTTATAAGATCGAAGAGCTTTGGCATTAGGGTTTCTCTCTCTGAATGGAGGTGGGTCGCTTCAAATGAAAGGTGATTAGAATTTGTGGATTTAATTGTGATTGAGGTACATAACCTTCATTAGGTCATCTGACGCGTCATGCATCATTAGTCAATAGTTTGGCTTGAGATCAGGGATTTCGAGGAATTAGGTTTGTTGAATGGCTTTAAGGCTCTTATCTTCGCACAAGCTTGTTTCAGTTGATTTCTCCATCAATCATTTGTTCGAATTAGGATTTTATCTCCAATGCTTAAGAATTAGGGTTTTCTTATGTTATGCTTCAACTGAGGATCATTGGATTAGGGCTCGATCTTGTGGTTATCTTGAGCTTCTCCTTCTTCAACATTGTGGACTTGTTTTAAATGATACAGTTTTTGGTTCTCATCAAATACTTGTTACTTGGGTTGCAAGTTAACTTGGGCTATTGAGAGAAATGACTTGTGACTTGGATTCGTTGAAACTTCTAATCATGCTCAGAGTTAATATTGATTCAAGGGCTTATTAAGTTCATGACTTTGTTAACGGTTGATTCAAGATAGGGTCAGGAGCTTATTTAGCTCATTTTATCAAATAAAAGATGGTTTTTTCAAATGCAAGATAACTAGAATTTATGGATCCAATTGAGATTAAGGTTCATTGACCAAGCATGCCATTTGAAGTCAATTGAGTTTCGACTTGTCATGAATGCTCAAGTTACATTAAGGATCGATTTAAGATGAACATGGAATAGAAGTTTTTAATGTGATTCAAAGATAAGTCATTTAACTTGCTTGAAGAACAAGATATATGCGAGAGATGTTACAGGACTTGTGGATAATTTTCCTGATTTTCTTATACTCATGATATAAGTGATTCATCATTTGGCTTTGTTTAGAATTTGGATTATGTTTGAGACACAAAAATAAGATTTTGAACTTGAGGTTAAAGAAGGGATCGTGATTCATTCAAGATACATTTTGAGAAGATGTAAGCATAAGAGAATAAATTCAAAGACAAGTGAATTAATTCAAAGTCTCTTTTCTTGATTCAACCATGGCTATTACAAAATCAAGAACTAGAACATATACACTTTCAACCATTCAAAATTACACAAAAGTTCACAATTAACACCAACAGAAACCATGTCCTCTTCCAGATCTCAATTCTGAATCTTTTAAATGCATATTTGTGGATATGTTCCGCCTTGGCTCTGTAAGATTCTCTCTTGCATGGGAGGTTGTCTTGGATGTTTCTCAAAGCCTCTTGAAATCATTTTGATGGGTGAGGCCGATGCATCTAAGGACTAAAATCTCAAGCCCAAACAATGGACAAAGACAACAGACCAGAAGATTTTTGGGACAACAGTGCTATTGATGTGGATCACAGTGCAACTCAATCCCAGACAAGCATCTCATCCATCATCGTATCAAACCATCCTTCTGATCCTCAAAGTAGTGATGCCATTCAGACTGATCCTCCAGAGTTTGTTAATCATGGTCTTCTTCTATGGAAACAAATACGACAACAGAGGTCAACATGCTATGAATGTTGATAAAAGTTCTATGAATAGTCAGCTTCACCTGCAAGATTGGTGCGCAAAAAGCAGAAAATAAATATTCTATTGTGCAGAATTGATATAATGAAGATGAGGAGGATAAAATGAACTAACTAAATCGCAACTTTTTCCTAACAGCCCTGTAACCATATCCTAATAGCCCTGTTTAACAGCGCAAAACCTTTCTAACTAACTAACAGAACTCCTCACAGAAAACAGAATTTCAATAACAAAAAAATTAACTTCTCTAACTAACAGCTAACCAAATTTGAGCTGAACTCTAACCTCCCAACGGTTTCTAACAAACTTCTAGCAGAGTTATATAATAGAAGATTCAGAGAGTTACAAGGGGGGATTATTTTCAAGAGAACAATTATCTAACACACAGAGAAAGAAATCACCTCTAGAATGATCCTCAAAAGAATTCTGCTGCACATCCTTCATCACTCTCTTCACGATTTCTCATTCACCAACTTCTCTCTCTATGAAATTCTTTGCATCTTCTTCAATCATTCTTCAACTTGATTCGCGACCTTCATCATCTTCTTTGCATCAACCTCGAAGCTTTAGTTATCAACCAATTTGCATAACCTTCGCGAATCTCCATCAACTGTTTTCATCAACCCTCAACAATATTCAACAGATAATAGAAAAAGATGAGGGAGATACAATTATTTAACACAGAAGATCTCAAAAGGAAACTCACCAAGAAAAAGCACAAGAAACTTCTCAATTCGTCTTCTTGCAATTTCTGAAACTGCACAATATCACTACTCGACTTCATTCTTCATTGGGCATCATCATAATTCTTCACAATCTGAAGAATCACCACAAAAATACTCTCTCCTCTCTCTCACCATGCTCCAAACTCTGCTATCTTCATCATCTTCCTCATCTTATATTAAACAGCTGCGAGAACCTCATCTCTCAATCATCAGTCAACATCTTCAACCTTCCACATAAACTTCGCTTCATCTTGATTATGTCATCAATCTTCAAATATGACTGCTTCACAAATCATCAACAGTTAGCAATAGCGAATCACTGCGTCTTTCACTCCAGTTATCATCGTCATCTTAGCATCAACAACATAGTTGAAAATGCACGCAACCATCAATCATCACGGCACCTTCAATCATCTTCATCATCTTTCTTTCTGCGCAATAACAACGCATAGTTGAAACCGCGAAAACTAGAGATTCGGAAATCACAGAAGAAAGAAAAAGAAGGAGATAGACGAAGAGAAGAAGAAGAGTAAAGGAAAGGAGAAGCTTGCTCAAAGTCTTCGCCAGAAAATGCACGGTAATCGTCGCCAATCGTCCCCCATTGATTTAGCGTTTTCCCATTGTTCTAGCATGTCCTTCGCTGCATAGACTTCTTCCCCCATGGTTTCAGCTCGAGTAGAGGTGTCAGCATCGCTTAATTGAAGCTTTAGGACGTCCAAGGGTTTCAATTTAGAGAGGAATTATGGATTATCGGTCGGAATTGGGGATAGAAGGAGGCCGCTGATAGAGAAATATGATGGTACATCGCAAAAGAATCGGCGAAGAAGATGGGAACAAGGTCGCGCCGCCGTGGTGCATCGTTGAAGAAGAAGCTCAAAAGCACTCTGTTCACGGAAAGAGAAAAGTATTTGTGATAAAGACTCCAAGAGTCACAAACTTCAAACCCTAACAAAATTTTCCAAAACGCATGCGTTTCACTTCTACAGATAATACTGAAGAAAATCCAATGGATGTTCGATTGGTGGCCGGGCCGAAGCACGCTTAGCCCATAGTGCAGATTTTTGGGCATCTAAAAAGATGAAAACAAAAAAAAACTATTATGAACCTATTGGGCTTGGGCTCTGCGCCCAATTTACTCCAGTACACTTCTGGATCTTGGCTTGCACCCCCCTGGTTTATTCTATTTGCAACTTCTTTTGAATAATTTTGTTAATTGTTTAGATTTGTTTGAATTTTCTCCACATGATAAAAAATGATAAAATCAATAAAATTTGTTATATTTTTTTATTTATATTTTAGGAATTAAATCATGATTATCTGATTACTCGATATTTGCGATTCACCTTTGTTTGTCGAGATTTGAGTCTTACGCAGGTTCATTATTTGACATGCGGATGTGTTTTGGATTCCGATTGTGATTTATTTTCACATCGACGAAGTTGCGACACTTATTCCAAATATTCAAACTGTGACTGTTTGTTTGTTGTTGCCAGCTCGTGCAAAGTATCTCGGATTTCTTTACTTCGATTGCACTTTTTGCGGATGTGATAGTTTGTTTGGCATTACACTTCTTCCAAGTTATATTTCCGCATTTATTGCTTTTCTAGATATCATGAGAAGTAGGAAATAAAGAGAGTGCGCTCAAAGTCGTTGTTTAAAGACCTGTAGCAGGCATTCCGCGCTTTATTTCTTATATTTGTTGTGCTTGTGTTTGTTTTCTTTCTTGTTGATCGATGAGTCACTCAATTTAGAAATTGAGATCACAACTTCGCTCTCAGTGCATGCTCCCTATAGGATTTTATCTCTTTCCTTTGTTTCTTGTTGATTGATGAGTCACTCAATTTAGAAATTGAGATCACGACTTCGCTCTCATTGCATGTTCCCTATAGGATAGTTTTACTTTCTTTGGCATGCTAACTTATATAGGATCTCTCTAGGTGTGCTCTCTTGATCTTATTGGCTTGTTTGCTTCATCCTTGTACATACCATGTTCCCTTAGAATGTGCTTGCTCTGTTCGAACGTAATTTTGACCTTAGGTTGTAAACCATGCATGCTAACAGTAGGTAGAAACTTCCCCTTTCATCCTTGACATAGGACTACCATTGTATGATAACATTAGGTTAGAGATAGGCTAGTCTCCCATAGACTCTTTTCTTTCCCTTTTTGCATCTTTGCATCTAAAACAAAAACTTCTTTTCTTAGCAAATCAAAAACATGCTAATCATACCTAAACCCTTTTTCAAAGTAATAAAAATACAAACCAATTCAAACAATTTTGTGCGCTCAAGCACCTTTTCTCTAAAACCCTTTTCAGGTAAGGACATGATTAGTTTACTTCTGTGCCAACGCATAAGTCTCCAAAGGTCGAGCTGCGGCAGAAGGCAGAATTAACATTGTCCATAAAAAACACAAAACAAACAAAAACATATGAGCCGAACTACGGTAGCTCTGATTCCTCAAAAAGGATACATAGGCATTGGGGTAGGGCCCAAGTGAGTACAACTTTATTTTCCCTGCATTCTTTCTCTTTTCTTTGCATGCATTCCCTCTTAGTTTATAAACTTTAAGCATTAGATTAAACACACCCTTTGATTAGAATAACGAGAGTGGATCCCGTAGAGTACTATGGACGTGTGGGGTGTTAATACCTTCCCCTCGCGTAATCGACTCCCTTACCCAATCTCTCGATCGCAAGACCTTGATTTCCCCATTTAGGTTTTTCTTTGATGATTTTCCTTTCCCTTTCATATGGGATAAATAAATACTCGGTGGCGACTTCACTGATTTTACCGCTATAGAAAAATGGCGACTTCACTGGGAAAATACATGTCGACCAATTGTTGGTCCATCCCGTGAGTCACTCCTAGCTCGCGTTTTTTTTCTTCTTTTCTTAGGGTTTTTGTCATTATTATTTTATTGATTATTCATTTTGTATATGTTTGAGCATATGTTTGCATTGCATCTTTATTATTATTTGTTATATTGTTGTTGTGCTGGTTTCTCTGTTTCTTGATGGGTGTGATGTTACTATGAGGTAAAAGGCCTAATACCCAGACCAAGTGGAAACAATAGTAACACTAGGAATAAAGTGGAACATGAACGGCTAGTTGACTTAGGTTTCACTATGCCACCATGTCGTCCACGCTCAGATGAGGTACAAATGAGGGGCTATCGTTTTCACGTAGGTGATACGGCGATAGTTTTTCAGGAGTACCCTCGATTCTATGTTACCATTGACCTTACCATGACCTAGTCATTACCCGTGAGTGGGGAGGGAATAATCTTTACAGGTACATATGGTGACTATACATGTTCAGTTGGTGACTCTGATTATACTGATGACTTTGATCCTTGATATTCTAAATTGGTCCGGACCTTTGATCTTATTGCATATGACAGTGGTTCTGTTATCAGTTCAGCAGTTATCCAGTACCGCATAAGCTTTGATCCCATATGTTTGCATACATAGCATGTTAATATAATTATCAACATACATGTTCTCTTTTGTTTCCAAACATTACTTTCTTGATTCCAATTGTTAAGACGAAAAATAAACATAAAAAAATTATATATAATAAATACATGAAAAAAGAATATATAATAACATTGTGGCTTAATAACTGGAATCAAAATGTATGAACTTTTGGAAATAAGAATATGGCATTTGTATTGTATGTAATGCATCATGTTACGTTTGATTATGCATTTCATGAGTTCCACAGAAGTCTTACCCAAGGTTCTTTGGTCGGTTGAAGCAAGTTGCCTCATCAGTACAACACTCGTGCTAAGGGAAGATGGAAAGCATTAAGCAAGAGATATTTGAACTCCGCAGAGAGGTGACTACTTTGAAGACTGATATGGAATATCTAACTGCTTTGGTTAAAACTTTGGTTGCCGCCCAAGTCAATCCTTCTAGGAAGGAAGAAGAGATGGAAAAAGTCTTCACAGAAACTCTAAAATCATTCTTTCATGAGAAGGTGATAGTCAATGCACCCAGTGAGTTCCCAGTAAAGGCAAATGTGAGAGTGCTTCTAGAAGAGGATGTCCGAAAGGAATGTTTATCTGAAGACAATGGCACAACTAGTGGTGTGAATAAGTTTGATAATAACTTTTCCAAGAAGAGAACTAGAGGAAGAAACAATTATCATCAGAATCAACATGTTTCTTCTATCATCCATGTGTTCAATTTACCTCCAACTGCTCCAGTTTGTCAACAGAATCAGCAAGTTCCCGATCAGAAGAAAGCTCAGTTTGATCCAATTCCAATGACT